CATGAGATCAGGGCCCTTGCTGCGTCATGGGCCCTCCTCAATGGGTCCCCCTTTCAGGAGGTCATGTCCGCAGCTTTCTGGCGCGGACAGACTACCTTCACGGATTTTTATCTCCGGTCCTTGGCCTCTCATTCTGATGGATTGTATTCCCTTGGACCGGTGGTGGTTGCACAGTCTGTGGCTGTTCCTCCACAGTAATTCAGTGATTTTAAATAGTATGCTATCAGGCACCACGGTGGTACACCTGCTCGTTTCACGGGGAGGTTTTCCATTTTTTAATTACTTTCGGGGCTTTATTAGGGGGGTTCCTTGAACCTTTTCCCTACCTTGAGCATGTCTCGAGTTTGTTCCGTCAGCCTGGTCTGCCTGGATTCGAAGCCTCCACTACGGTAAGACGAATTCGCATACTAAAGTTATGGTAATTATTACTGAAATGAAATTGAGGTTTTTGAAGTAAAACCAATTTTCATGATGTAATACTTACCATAACTTTATGGAGTCCCACCCTGTATTCCTCCCCTTGCCTCCTCATCCTGGCTGCCTTTAGGCTCCATAAAAGGGGGTTTGAGGAAGGGAGATCACTCCGTGGCTCTGTCATCGAGATAGAGGTTACGTCACGGTAGGGAGGTAGGGATATTTGAATCTTTTGTTTTTGGGCTACAAAGATGGGTGTAGGTATTGTATATGCATACTAAAGTTATGGTAAGTATTACATCATGAAAATTGGTTTTACTTCAAAAACCTCAAATTTTTGAGTTCGTGGTTAGATTGCTTAAGCAGTCCGTTGGCATATCTATGTGTAAAGGACACTACCGACTCTTTCACACTGGCTACTTATCTTTCGCATTAACTGTAGGCAGACGTTCTTTGATCATGATCTTATTGGAATTATTATGTTTCCTGGTGTCTATGAGAATGCGACATTACTTGGATTTACAAGGCGGGTGTCAAGGAAACAGACGACACTTCCAGAACACATGGGTATGTATTCATGAAAATGTTCTCATGCTCAAGCATAGATTTTGTGCTCAAACCGAATTTCTTGTTCCGTTTATAAATTCATGATAAAATCTATTTAAAAGACTTAAAGCCAAAATCTGTTGACAATGTTTACATTTAACTTTTCAATCATTTGACATGATTTAAGTGAGTTGTGAGAAAGTCGGTTTGAACACAAACTCCATGCTAGAGCATTGGATCGGTTTCATGATAACGGGCCATGGTCTTTTCTCTCGTGTTCTTTTCTAAGCGTTTTCGTATAAAAGTTTCATTCGTTCATATTTTATCATTGTTTCATCGGTTTTGTTTGTACTTTGATATTCTCTCGTTTCCGTCATAATCTTATCGTCCCTGGAATATCTCAACGTCATCACCAGCCAGGCCATATTGATTGATCGCTCTACCAATGATGGCAGAGGGAAGTGCAGTGCGATGTACCGCAGTAAAGGTCAATACTGAAGAGAGCTCTTCTACTGTTGCCATATGAACCAAATACAACATCAAACACCACACGAGTCTTCGCAGCAGTCTACGCCTTATATTCCCCTAGCATGCCTGATTTGTCTACCTTCCTCATCCACTATACACTCTACATTTACTTATTATTGATGCTGCTGGTATCTTTCAGCGTTCCACCAATAGGATTATCTGCATTGGGTGGCATTTCAACTCCTTGGACATTTGATTCGGGCGGACAGTCGTCCTTTCTTCGTAATCACACATCTCGATTTTCTTGCCTTAAACTTTATTTATGCCCAGAAGTCTACCCTTTCTAATGCAATCAAAACCTATTGTGCTTTGGTACGCGGGATGCAAATCATAGTCAGACCTTCCAAGCATCCTCGATTTGATGGTTGGTATATTTCTGATTCTGTTCGAGGTCTTATAGTTCCTTCCAGTGACATTGATTAGAAGTATATTCTAGGACAGAGATCGATAAATATGATGACTTAGAATTTAAACTCAACTTAGTATGACGCACCTTTGCGCCAAGGGGATTCATGTTGTATTAATGAAGGGGGCCCATCACGAGAGCAAATTAAGTGGAGGGGGATAAATATGGACATAGACATTTTCAACTTTCAAAGGCAGTTTTGACCGAACTTGGTCAACGGTGCATTTTTAGCTTATACAAAATTCCAATGTGGTTAAACGGCCTCCAATTGGCCGAGTCATTTGTCCTATCAGGATGAATTTAGCAAATGTTCAACAGATAGTCCTCTAGTGACTCTGACCATAGCTCTGGAATTTTGGTTAATTTCAGCGAAAGATGGCCGCCCTGGCCTCTGATTGGATTAGACGTTTTCAACCTATCACCCAACAGGCCAGGCATTCTACGTAATATTTATAAAGATAATCACCTCCTTGTCATGAATACTGTAGGTGTTGCTATTTTTCTATGTATTTATATTCTGTCTTCTGATTAACTGAAACAGTTTTCCTCAATTCTTTAGTTCCATATTAGTTTTAACACAAATTGGTAGAGTTATTTCTTTTCCCACTCTAGCTTACAAAAACAAGTTTTGTAATTGTTCTGACTTGATAAGAAACTGAAAATAATCACCATGGTATAAAATTTTCGGAAAGCTTGTGTATGAATATCTGCAATCATGACAAAGTGTTTTCATTAAACATAATATCGCAAATATGCCCCTATTTGGGGTGTTCTGTCTCAAAGCACCAAAGAAGATAATGGGACTTGTTCTTTAGAAGAAGTAATTTGAGGGATAAGATAATGAAACACACATAATAGCCTTCATTCCATTGTTTTAACTCAAAGGCACCTGGAGAAGCTCAAAATAACAAACACAACAATAACAAAATGTAACTTTATATAAAAATAACTTACTTTGGAGTAGAAGTACAATATGTTCACAAACCATTATTGCAGGCATTCTGGCACATACTGTACCAATAATCAAACAGTTAGTTCAGTCTTTAGTATATGACAGAAAAGTCCTTAAACAGTTACTACCAGTAATAACCATACCAACAGATCATTTCTTCTACATCACTTAAGGATGCCTGTCCCACTACAGGCAAAACACTAGAGAGCTCCACTGTGGTTTTTCGAAATAAAGTTACCTCCCTTTAATTTCGTTAACTACAGCCTATTGGGCCAGGGTATTTCCATTTACCTGGTGACTCAGCTGTTTAAAGGGACATTATAACAATCTGAGGTCCAGGGTTCCAATCCTGCTACACTCCTGCTGAGTTTTGACACTCCAAACACTGTTGTTGATATTATTTAATTTTATCTTTCTTATTTTTTTCATAGAATTCCAGCAAAGTATGGTTTTCTTTCTAGAAATGATTTATCAATATTGAAATCATGTCGAAAAGACTGTTCTGGCACAGGGATCCTTATTACTGAAAGCCTTGGATGGTGGAAAGATCAGTGGACATCTTCTACAAGCATGTCCCATATGAAACGTGCATGTGGGATAACTTTTTCTCCGCCTCTGCATATGAAAGATACATCTGTCCCATGTGACTGACTTTGTATTCCACATAAGTGCACTCATTGACCTGTACTATTATGATGTCATAATCAGATGATGGCGTTTTATCATGATGTCACAATTGAAAAACCATCAAAACATTATTTGAATGGCAATTTTGCTGTCAGCAAGTGACACCAACCACATCAAGAACATAAGATTTGTTGTCCAATTAGCCTACCCTGAAGGTTTTGCATGGACCTTTGAATTTGAGGTATACCATACTTTATTTCATCCTCGTGTTCATGGGTTACGCTCACTTTCGCTCTCTGCACCCCTGGAATATGTCATAGCAAAAGTGAAGGCACGCGGCTAGCTATTTGATTGGTATCAGGTAAAAATAAACTGACCAATCACCAGGCTGACACTAGTCCTTTGAAGATTACAATGGAGCGACACCTGACTTCAAAGCCAATAAAGGACTAGGGGCGTAAAGGGCCATTTCTGGCCTCATCAGTGATTTAGAATTTGTTGTTATATTCGTAATCTGGAATAAATGAAATACGCTAATATGACATTTCAAATTCATTCGACAACTGGTTTAGGAGATTATAGCATTAAGAGGAGAGGCATAAACCCGCATTTTCATAATAAAATGCGTGAATATCATCTATTGTGCGCTATTTGGTCGAAAATTTGCCAATTTGAAGGGAATGAACTAAACACTCTTCATTTTATGAAAGCCTCTGCATGCAACAAACAAATAAATATTTGACATACTTAAACATTGTCATGCCAGTGTTCATTGGATGAAAAGAATTTTTGTTTGTCACATGCGGAGGCTTTCATTTCTGCATGCTAACTGTTCAAACTAGTCTTCCCATCTCATCCATAAGGTGGTGCACACTTATGCTTCGATTTTGCTATGACATATTCTAGGGGGGCAGACAGCAAAATTTACCAAATTCAATCATTATGGAGGTATGTAGTTTTTAAATAATATGATAAAGACACAAAGTTTAGCAACTGTCTTTTACAATTTGAATATTAACTTACTAATGTTTATAAACATGATAATCAACCATCACAAGTTTTGGGACCTTTCTCTCCCACAATATTGTAACATGTCACCATCACTGGACACTGATGTAACATGTCACCATCACTGGACACTGTTGTAACATGTCACCATCTCTGGACACTGTTGTAACATGTCACCATCACTGGACACCGTTGTAACATGTCACCATCACTGGACACCGTTGTAACATGTCACCATCACTGGACACTGTTGTAACATGTCACCATCACTGGACACTGCTGTAACATGTCACCATCACTGGACACTGTTGTTACATGTCACCATCACTGGACACTGCTGTAACATGTCACCATCACTGGACACCGTTGTAACATGTCACCATCACTGGACACTGTTGTAACATGTCACCATCACTGGACACTGCTGTAACATGTCACCATCACTGGACACTGTTGTAACATGTCACCATCACTGGACACTGCTGTAACATGTCACCATCACTGGACACTGTTGTAACATGTCACCATCACTGGACACTGTTGTAACATGTCACCATCACTGGACACTGTTGTAACATGTCACCATCACTGGACACTGTTGTAACATGTCACCATCACTGGACACTGTTGTAACATGTCACCATCACTGGACACTGTTGTAACATGTCACCATCACTGGACACTGTTGTAACATGTCACCATCACTGGACACTGTTGTAACATGTCACCATCACTGGACACTGTTGTAACATGTCACCATTACTGGACACTGCTGTAACATGTCACCATCACTGGACACTGTTGTAACATGTCACCATTACTGGACACTGTTGTAACATGACACCATTACTGGACACTGTTGTAACATGTCACCATCACTGGACACTGTTGTAACATGTCACCATCACTGGACACTGATGTAACATGTCACCATTACTGGACACTGTTGTAACATGTCACCATCACTGGACACTGATGTAACATGTCACCATCACTGGACACTGTCAACACCACTTCCTAGTACTATCAGTTAATATTACTGGTATCCACACTATCACCTCCTTCCATTAGCCAATATGTCTGCATTGTTCCTTTACCCTGTAATGTAATTTTTAATTTGAATAAAACGTTGATGATACATGATAAAGGAAATACCTTAAATACAAATATAACTTTATAAATTTTATAGTATATTATAACCATGATATAACCATTATTTTTTATATTATGTTTCAAAAACATTATAGTAAAGAATAACTTTTAAAACTGGTAATGTTTATTAATATAATAAAGACATAAGTGTTTTAAAGACATGATACAAGAATTTCCCAATTTCTCCACTTGATGTGACAATCTACTTTAAGGACCAGGATTCAAACTCTAGACTTCAGGATGTTATACTATGTTATACAACTGCTCAAACCAACTGAGCTACCTGGTCAACTGGGGAGTGCAGTGGGACATGGATCCTTAAGACAAATAACAGATGTACTGCATGATGATTTATATGGCAGACTAAAGATCTCCAGGACTGGTAAAACTTATCTCTAAATCTAAGACAAGTTTCTGTTTTATAACAGGAAAGTCACAATATCGTAACTGTGGATAAAATGATCAACATTGAGGGTTTTTGAGATGAGACAGCTGGTAACATTTTTACTTAATCCTTTCACCACTGTAGACCTTAATGGACTTATCCAGATCAATGCATGGTAGAGTTTATTTAAATTACATAGGGATGAAAGGATTAAAGACTTATTAAATCAACACTAAAATATAAACAATTTAGACCTTCAGTAATTTCTTAATACTTTAATACAGTAACAACAAAGCAATCCATATAGTTCTCCACATGTGGAAAAACTCTGGTATCAAACTTGTACGAAGGGACATAACTCTGTACATAGCATGGAATGGAATTTCAGTTTGTGACATCCATTTACCAAAGAGGTACTCACATACAATATTTAGCTATTTTAAGTGAAAGAGTATAATAGATTTGTCCCAAAATATACATGCTAAACAAAGGGCAATACAACTGTATATTTTGATATAAAGTAGAGACCTAGTTTCAGTAATTAACACTGTAGCATCTCACTAGGTACTTGCATACAAAATATTTTGTCAATTGCCTGTGACATTATATAAATAAGTTGAGTGTGTGCCCCTTTAGGGCAATGGAGAGGAGCAGAAATGTGGAAATCAGTGTTAATTTTTGTCAAAGGAATTTTGACTTAAATTGGCAAGAAGCATATTTGGATGAAAGAGAAGGCTTACATTAACAAAGGTGTAATATGGTCAGGGGCTTCTTGTACCTAGAGCAACAGGGTTCTGTAGGGGAAAAAGGACAAACGTTTGAACTTTTTATCCAGATTTAGAGCGTAAATAATGTACACGTTCTTTGACTGGCAGAGATCTAGACATTCTTTGCTTCTAGCTCAATTGTCATTCTGCTGATTTTGACAAAACTTTATACAAATGTTCTTAAGGTTTTGATGATCAACACATGTTAGACTTGCTCAAGTCCATAGACAAACAAGAAAAATCAGTAAACTGATAGATTATGCTCCCTGAATATTTCACTAAAAACAAAATAAAACGTGACCTCAATGTTACCTTGACCTGAATTGCATTGGCAATACAGACCAAATGGTTGTATGCAACAGACCTCCTTTCCATCCTACTAATATCCCTTGAAACTTCATTGAGTCAGAATTCATGGCCTGGAAAATGAATTTGATTTTCGACTTCAATGTTACATTACTCTTGGGTGTATAGACCCAATTGTGGTTTGGGACATGTCCCCCTTGTAACATATATCTCTCTAACATATATGACCTAGGGTATATGGACCCTAAACTGGTATGCATGTACAACATACCATGCCATCCTACATATACCCCTTAAATCAGAAATTATCAACCAGACAAGGAATTTGACCTTTGATCTCAATGTGACCCTGACCTTTCACATACAGATTCAATAAGTGTATGCAACATACCATGTCATCATATATATACCACTTAAAATGCATTGAACTATCCTCAGTTTACCAGAAGTTATGACCCAGACAGACAGAGTAGTGACTATAATGTTCCCTTAAAAATCTTTTTAGGAGCATAAAAATAATCATATATAGACTAAAGGCTAGCCTAGCACGACTTCAATTGTTACTCAATCAGAATCCATTATAAACCAGGGTTGAAGTGTATCATAACACTGGTTATAAGCTAAATAACAAGAGATCCCAGAGGGATCTTGGTGCCCACCTTTGTACCATCTTCATTAGTTCTTTGTCAGTTCGATCTTTTCTCTTCTTTCCTCTAATCTGTTTGATCGAGTCATGTTAACAGTAAATGCACCTTGAGGTAACTTTTGATCTAAACTTAATACTGATGTGTATGAAAGCCAACCTTCAAAGTGAGTTTGTCATTTCACATATTTACTAGTACAGTACTTAATGAGAAAGAAATAGAATCGATCATTGCAATATGAGAAAGATCTGTTTAGTTCTTCTTTTAATCCATTTTGTTTTTAAGATCAGTCTCAAAATATAACATGGACAACGAGGGATCAAGGGGAACCTACATATAAAATTTGAGAAAGATCCCTCATGTGCTTCTTGAGAAATAGCGATAACAAACTTTCAATATCAAAATCCAAGATGGCTGCCTGTCGGCCATGTTGTTTATCCGATCAGTCTCTAAAATTGCCCTGCACAGCTAGGACCAAGGGGAGCCTACATATAAAATTTAAGAAAGATCCCTCTAGCNGATCAGTCTCAATAGTTGCCCTGCACAGCTAAGGATCAAGGGGAACCTACATATAAAATTTGAGGAAGATCCCTCTAGCACTTCTTGAGAAATAGCAATAATAAACTTTCAATATCAAAATCCAAGATGGCTTCCTGTCGGCCATGTTGTTTATCCGATCAGTCTCAATAGTTGCCCTGCACAGCTAAGGATCAAGGGGAACCTACATATAAAATTTGAGGAAGATCCCTCTAGCACTTCTTGAGAAATAGCAATAATAAACTTTCAATATCAAAATCCAAGATGGCTTCCTGTCGGCCATGTTGTTTATCCGATCAGTCTCAATAGTTGCCCTGCACAGCTAAGAACCAAGGGGAACCTGCATATAAAATTTGAGAAAGATCCCTCTGGTACTTCTTGAGAAATACTGATAGCAAGAATTGTTTAAGGACGGACGATGGACGACGGACGAGGGACGACGGACGGCGGACCACGGACCACGGACGCAGGGCGATTTGAATAGCCCACCATCAGATGATGGTGGGCTAAAAAGTACAGATAAAACGTGAACAAGAGAGGTTTCCTTTTCAATAGGACTGAAGTGTTTTTTACCAATTTTTTATTTTTTTAAAGTGTGTCATGCAAATTTTGTTCTTTATTTTCATGATCTTACACTAAAACAAGCCAAACTTTGGGCACAAATAACTTTATACTTTCATCTCATTCTGCCAAAGAACCTAAAGAAAAATAACTGCTTTCTCAATAATCAAGTTGTACAAAGCATGGTTAGCTTGAGACATAATCTTTTGACACTTTCCTTGTTAAACTTTGCAGTTAGTTTTTTGAAATTTTAATGAAAAACAATTGGTTTTATTATCTAAAATAATTATTTTTATAAAAGAATTTGCTGTTCAGATAGTTTCAGAAAACATATGCAATTGAATTATTTTTTATGATTTTTCATTAAGCTTGAAAAATCTGGTTCAAACGACCTTGTTTACTGTTTACATGTTTCAAGTGCCCGGAAAAAGTGGCAAAAAGTTGAATAAGTATCAAGTAACCACATTTGGCTGCCTTTGTAGTTCTATAATATATGGCATGGCAGGCCGAAGTCCAAAACACCGACAGCTGATGATAAAGAAAAAGTTTATGTTGTGTAGTTAGAGAGAAGGCAGCCACTCTAGGCTGGAAATGGAGCTGGAATATCTAAAACACATGTTTATCTAATAAAGTCATTAATTGGCTCAGCAGCATTGGTGGTGCATTAGTGGTCAAAACAGCTATAGAATTTCATTGGAAACCTAAAAAAAGTTTCAGTGAGGCCCATTTTGGGGGAAAACTTTCACATTTTTTTCATGGTTAAAAAATGATTTATCCCAACAAAGGGAAACAACTGGCAGTGAATTAAACTGCGCAGACTAATGAATCTCTGTTTAAAGTGGATGAACTAATCATTGAAGAGTACGCTGCAAGGAGGTGAAAATGTGTTCACAAACATCAAGTCGCCCCCTGGTGGGACCCCCTAGGGTATCAGGCGTTCCTTTAATTTGATTCTGCGAACAATGTTTAGGAATACATCGCTGTGACAATGGACTGGGATCTACAACAGGACGTTTAACCTACTCCACATTCCAAATATAAGGTGAGTGTAAATGTTCTTCAATTTGCTTACCTGAGCTGTGCACTGTGTGTAATCTTATGTTGCAATTTGTCAAATTAGTTCTCTTTGTTATTGTATATGTATTTGAGTTGAAAAAATAACTTTTTCAAGGTATCTATATCTTTTGATCCTGCTTTCATAAAAAATATTGCTTAATGAAATCAGTTAAAGTATTTTCAAACTTAAAAACAACCCCTAACAACCTAAAACTACAGCTCAAAAACTCTAACATCATAAAACCACCACTCTTAAACTCCAACAGCCAGAAAACCACAACTCCAAAAATTAAAACCCCATAGATGATAACTCTTACAACCCAAAAAGTCTACAACACCCTAACTCTTACAACCCCAAAAGTCTACAACACCCCAACACTTACAACCCAAAAAGTCTACAACACCCCAACTCTTACAACCCAAAAAGTCTACAACCCCCTAACTCTTACAACCCAAAAAGTCTACAACACCCTAACTCTTACAACCCAAAAAGTCTACAACACCCTAACTCTTACAACCCCAAAAGTCTACAACACCCCAACACTTACAACCCAAAAAGTCTACAACACCCCAACTCTTTCAATCCCAAAAGCCTACAACACCCCAACTCTTACAACCCCAAAATGTCTACACCACCCCAACTCTTACAACCCCAAAATGTCTACAACCCCCCAACTCTTACAACCCCAAAAAGTCTACAACACCCAACTCTTACACCCCCAGAAGTCTACAACACCCCAACTCTTACAACCCAAAAAGTCTACAACCCCCTAACTCTTACAACCCAAAAAGTCTACAACACCCTAACTCTTACAACCCAAAAAGTCTACAACCCCCCAACTCTAACAACCCCAAAAAGTCTACAACACCCTAACTCTTACAACCCAAAAAGTCTACAACCCCCCAACTCTAACAACCCCAAAAAGTCTACAACACCCTAACTCTTACAACCCAAAAAGTCTACAACCCCCCAACTCTTTCAATCCCAAAAGTCTACAACACCCCAACTCTTACACCCCAACAATGTCTACAACACCCCAACTCTTACAACCCCAAAAGTCTACAACACCCAACTCTTACAACCCCAAAAGTCTACAACACCCCAACACTTACAACCCAAAAAGTCTACAACACCCCAACTCTTACAACCCCAAAATGTCTACAACACCCCAACTCTTACAACCCCAAAAGTCTACAACACCCCAACTCTTACAACCCCAAAAGTCTACAACACCCCAACTCTTACAACCCAAATCCTCACTTAACAAACCAGAACAAACTAAAACCAACTGTTATAACATCCCCAAAAACCACAAATGAGAACAACTCCGATCCAGATTTTACAACTTCAAATCACTTTTAATCATCAGTTTGCTTCAAAACTAAAAGAAAACTTAATAATTATGGTGCAATAAACTGTGATGTATGATATAAACTGTGATGTATGATATACAACTGTGATGTATGATATATACTGTGATGTATGATATACAATGGTGATGTATGATATAAACTGTGATGTATGATATAAACTGTGATGCATGATATATACTGTGAAGTATGATGTATACTCTGAAGTATGATAAATACTGTGAAGTATGATATATACTGTGATGTATGATATACAACTGTGATGTGTGATATACAACTGTGATGTATTATATACAACTGTGAAGTATGATATATACTGTGATGTATGATATATACTGTCACGGAGTATCACAACAAAAGTGTGATTGATTATCAAATACAACAAAACTGTGATGAATTGTCTACTACAACAAAATAAAGGATTATTAATCACCACAAAATTCTGATAGATTATCCAATACAACAAAACCTAGTTGGGTTGTCTACAACAACATATCTGTGATGGATTAATCACAAGAAAACTGTGATAGATTATCCACTACAACAAAACTGTAATGGATTATCCACAAGAATAATTTGATGGATTATCTGCTACAACAAAACTGTGATAGATTATCCACTACAACAAAACTGTGATAGATTATCCACTACAACAAAACTGTGATAGATTATCCACTGCAACAAAACTGTGAAAGAAGATCCACTGCAACAAAACTGTAAAAGAAGATCCACTGCAACAAAACTGTGATCGATTATCCATAACAACAAAACTGTGATAGAAGATCCACAACAAACTTTGATTGATTATCCACCACTATAACAAATCTGAATTGGAATATCCATTACAACAAAACTGTGGTGGATTATCTACAACAACAAAATTGTAATGAATTATCCACAAGAAAACTTTGATGGATTATCCACTACAACAAAACCGTGAAGGAAGATCCACTTACACAATTCTGTGATGGAATATCCATAATAAAACTGTGATGGAACCTCCACTACAATAGAACTGTGATGGATTATTCACAAGAAAATTTGATGGAATATCCATTACAACAAATCTGAGATGGATTATCCACAAGAAAACTTTGATTGATTATACACTTCAACAAAACAGTGATAGATTATCCACTACAACAAAACTAAAATAGATTATCCACAAGAAAACTGTGATGGATTATCCACTTAAACAAAAAAACTGTAATGGGTTATCCATTACAACAAATCTGAGATGGATTATCCACAAGAAAACTTTGATAGATTATCCACTACAACAAAACTTTGATGGATTATCCACAAGAAAACTGTGATTGATTATACACTTCAACAAAACAGTGATAGATTATCCACTACAACAAAACTGTGATGGATTATCCACAAGAAAAATGTGATGGATTATTCTCAACAGCAAATCTGAGATGGATTATCCACAAGAAAACTTTGATGGATTTTCCACTACAACAAAATAGTAATGGATTATCCACAAGAAAACTGTGATCGATTATACACTTCAACAAAACAGTGATAGATTTACCGCTACAACAAAACTGTGATGGATTATCCACAAGAAAAATGTGATAGATCATAATCTACAGCAAATCTGAGATGGATTATCCACAAGAAAACTTTGATGGATTTTCCACTACAACAAAACTTTGATGGATTATCCACAAGAAAACAATGATGGATTATCCACTACAACAAAACTGTGATGGAATATCCACAACAACAAATCTGAGATGGATTATCTGTTAAAACAAATCTGTGATGAATTATCCGTTACATTAAATCTGTGATATATTATCCACAAGGAAACTTTGATGGATTTTCCACTACAACAAAACTTTGATGGATTATCCACAAGAAAACAATGATTGATTATCCAAAACAACAAATCTGAGATGGATTATCCATTATGACAAAGCTGTGATGGATTGTTGTGCAACAATAAAATTGTGTTTGAATAACTACCACAACAAAATTCAGTTGGATTAAATGCAACAATAAACAGTGTTAGATTATAAGCAATAAAGTCTGCTGGATTAAATATGATTTCAGAATTATGATGGATAATCGGCAACAACGAAATTGTGGTGGATCATATGCGACAACAAAATAAAATGGATTGTATGCATGAATGAGATTAATTGTGCCCAACTACAAAACAATAAATAACTACATGACGTTAATTAAATATATGACAGCATACAACTGTGAGTAATTATATACAACTAGATACTAGCATATGTATTGGATTATAACTACATGAAACAAAGCTTCATTGTACTTAACCATACAAATGAAAATGATATTATATACAGCTACACGTAGATAGTTGTGGAATGGATTATATGAAACAACACAATTTTGATGGAGTGTATACAACTGTGTTACTATGATGGAATTGATACGTTTTGTGTGGTTGGTTTGTGTTTTATGCGCTTTTAACTGCTCAAGCATTTAAGGACGTGTCAGGTTTTGGTGATGGAGGAAAGCCGGAGTACCCAGAGAAAAAACACCAACATGCGGCCAGTACCCGGTGACTGCCCCCTGTAGGCTTCGAACCTATGGCCCAGTACCTCCCAGTGGTGGAGGGCAAGTGATCATAGAATGTTAGATGCATTAACCACTCTGCCGATGCGGTCCCAAAAAAACCTACAGATCTGCTTTTGAGAACAAAATAAGGGATGTCTTCCCTAATAAGACATTATACATATTAATATTTGTTTTGCATTTTTCTTTGGATTCTCCGGTTTTCCTCCAACACCAAAACCTGGTTCATCTTTAAATGACCATAGCTGACCTGGTTCATCTTTAAATGACCATAGCTGTTAGTAACCAAACCAAACCTATTTGACAGTTGACCTAGAAAGTGACACTGACCTTAGATAACATTGTCTGTACACCATTTTGTGGTTGATGCAGGTATACACACATCAAGTTTCCTTAAGTCTTCATTCTCTTCAGATTTTTAAAATTAAATCTCAAACACAAGAATTTCATCCAAATTTTGCACTTATTTGACCTCTTTTCTGGAGGTGAAGGTCATGGAGACCTTATAACATTGCACTGCAGACCCTCTGTGGGTGATGCAGGTATGCACTTTAACTTTCATCTCTAACAGTTGAAAGAGCTGATAAGCATCGCACTAAAACTTTGCACTTATTTGACCACTGACCTCCAGATGAAGGTCAAGGTAACCTAATAAAAATGTATCGCACACTTTTTGTGGGTGATGGTGCACTTCAACTTTCAACAAGACAAGTTTATTGGTTTAAAAGTTACAGTGCAGACAAAATTTCAATTTTGTACTTATTCGACCATTGACCTAGAGGTCACCTAAAAACAGTGCACTACACACCTTCTGAACATGATACGGTACTTCAAGTTTCATCAAGGTGTTTGGAACAGTTCAACAGTCATCACACAGGAAAGTTTTTATTAGAATATGAAAGAATTTCAGAACCATAAAAGAATTACAAAAGAACATTTGAAAGGGAAACAACATCAACTGGTTGCTTGTAACTTCAGACTCGAAGAAATATCATTTAATTATGCTGAATCATTGGTACAATTTAAACTTCAGACTATGTCCATAAACGCATGTTGACCTTTCATCTTGAAATTGTAAGCCAGATGTCCAAAATTTATTTCAACAAGCTTAAAACTATTATAATACACTTCTAGGTCATTGTTTAGCTGACTAATAATGTACCATCAAAACACTTTTTCATTCATTCATTAGCCCTTTCAGCACTATAGACCATAATGGACTCATCTAGATAAATATGTGGTTAAGTCTACTAAAGTTACACAGGGGTGAAAGGGTACATATGTAAGTAAGTTGTCCGAGACATATAACTTTGCTATAACACCTAAATAAGCCTAGTGTGGTTTGGTCGCTAAACTGAGCCAATAAGCCTAGTGTGGTTTGGTCGCTAAACTGAGCCGATAAGCCTAGTGTGGTTTGGTCACTAAACTGAGCCAATAAGCCCAGTGTGGTTTGGTCACTATAATGAGCCAATAAGCCTAGTGTGGTTTGGTCACTACACTGAGCCTATAAGCCTAGTATGATTTGGTCGCTACACTGAGCCAATAAGCCTAGTGTGGTTTGGTCACTACACTGAGCCAATAAGCCTAGTATGGTTTGGTCGCTACACTGAGCCAATAAGCCTAGTGTGGTTTGGTCGCTATACTGAGCCAATAAGCCTAGTGTGGTTTGGTCACTAAACTGAGCAAATAAGCTAGTGTGGTTTGGTCACTACACTGAGCCAATAAGCCTAGTGTGGTTTGGTCGCTATACTGAGCCAATAAGCCTAGTGTGGTTTGGTCACTACACTGAGCCAATAAGCCTAGTGTGGTTTGGTCACTACACTGAGCCTATAAGCCTAGTATGATTTGGTCGCTACACTGAGCCAATAAGCCTAGTGTGGTTTGGTCACTATACTGAGCCAACAAGCCTAGTGTGGTTTGGTCGCTACACTGAGCCAATAAGCCTAGTATGGTTTGGTTGCTAAACTGAGCCAATAAGCCTAGTATGGTTTGGTTGCTACACTGAGCCAATAAGCCTAGCGTGTGTTTGGTCGCTACACTGTACTGAGCCAATAAGCCTAGTGTGGGTTTAGTCACTAAACTTAATCAGATAATGGGGGGTTGGGGGTGTGGGTGTTCTAAAATCAGAATTGTTTACTTATATCAATTTGAGCTTAGATCTTACTTACTGATTTGTAATAGTTAAGCTGTCACCTGGATGCTACTGCGAAATTAAAGGGTTGGATCAGAATAAAAAACGTCAGCCCATTTCAACACCTAGAATTTCTGTCTTTTTTTTATTGCTTAATGTTTCTTCTTGTTTCTAAATACTTGAATTTCAAACATTTGTAATTCTCAGCATTGTAAGATTTGTCTTATATAAAACACATATGTAGAAAAATACTTACACTTCATAATATTTTTGAACAGTGTTGATGGTATATATTTAACCCTTAACTTTGATAAAATTCTTCATAGATTAGAAATGTGTTTTAGGGCCATGGGAGCTACTGGAATAACACTTGTGTTGGCTTGTGTGCTGAGTGTGACGACAGCACAGCCTGAAGCGAGCATCTGTCAGTCCATGGACTATCGTGCCCTCGATAGGGAGCTTCAGAATGAGCACCAATGTATGATCCTTGAGAAGTTACAACGAGACTTTGAAGCCGATAAAAACTCACGAGAGACCCTCCTCGAAGACCTTGTGCGGTAAAGTCTGTTATACATTACATCATCATTACAGTAGAAAACATTCAAAACCATTTATTATTATTCTGAGAGTTTGCATATTTTCAAAATTCTGGTGTAGCTTTTAGCAGAAACCTAAGTTTCATTAGATATGCTTCTCCTCAGAAAAACAATTGCCCCTCTGAACTCGAACGGTTTTTTACTCAAACTCAAATGACCAGAATATGCCCCGAACTAAAACAGATTTCATCTCATATTTTCACTCAAATGAGTTAACCCACCCCCCTCAAGTAATGTTCATTTAACTCAAACACAGGCAAGTGAAAGAAATTAATTTTTATTTACTGATATAAGTTAACAAAAATCCTTTTTCAAGAATACTTTAACTTGCAATAAAATGAACTGATCCTGAAGCACAAATATAGTTTACCTCAAACCTTAACCTTAAAAGTGGACCAAGGTCAAATATATGTAAATGGACTAAATGAAGATACAGGCTAAATGTCCTTACGTATGACTTTTGGTTATTCAAAACAACCCATTTAAAGATGTTAATACATTTGACCCCAGTGACCTTGAAAGTCTAACAAGGTTATGCAATTGAACAAACTTTGTAGCCCTTCATACAAGCATGCTACTGGCCAATTATCATCATCTGAGGCCTCTTAGACTTGTATGACTTTTGGTTATTCAGAAGATGTCATTTAAAGAGGTTTACATATTTTACCCCTGGGTTAAAGTAACTACAAACTTGGCAACCCTTCCTCTCTGAATTCTACGGGCCAATTAAATATCATCACCCTTGGCCTTTTGGTTCTTCTTTTTACAAAATCATATCTGTGACTTTAAAAATAGGTCAGGGTCATTTTTATTTACAAACCTTGTCAGGCTCCATCCCAGGAAGCTAACAGCCTAATATCATCACCCTTAAGGCCTTTGGGTTCTTTAAATCAAGTTGTTTAGATGTTTTGACATATTTGACCCCTATGACCTTGAAAGTATGTCAAAATATGTCAGGTGATCATGAGCTAATAAAATATGAATTAGGCTAATTCCGCTCCTAACTCAAACAGATATTAAATCAAACCCAGGTGAATCGAAAATCCATACTAACTCAGATACTCACTATAACCTTTACTGGGTTATATTGTAGATGTGCTTATTCCGTCTTTGCGTATTGCAGAGTTATCTTCTCTTGGGAGCAGGTATTGATTGTTACGTCACTTGTTTGTGAGAGAAACGTCATCAATTTTTGAGAAAACAACGTAATTTTCTCACACAGACCAATGACGTAACAATCAATACCTGCTCCCAAGAGAAGATAACTCTGCAATACGCAAAGACGGAATATATAAACAGAAAAAAGTTTCACTTTTATTCTACAGGAGAATAGACAAGCTCAGCAAAAAGATCTCTAAACTCAGGAGATCAAAGGAGGATGAGAGAGAAAAACCATTGAAATTTGCACCGGCACTAAAGGGTGTGCCTCTTATCCGAGGTAAGAGTTTTTTTGTTTGAATCTCAAAATTGTCAGAATGTGAAGGACAAACTGTACACGATAACATTAACACTTACTGAATGAAACTTATATATTTTGTTGTATAATACTTATACTTACTGTATAATACTTATGAGGTTTTAATTTTGCTCTTTTCATGGCTTAAAAAGTATGCCAAAAAAGTATCCTTTAGATCCATTGCCCTCCCTTTAGAAAGAAAGCTAGCTAGGACAGTCCATATTCTTATAAATAGGATTCTTTGTTTGAAAAATGATGGTGTATTTGCAGACTGCCATGAGCTGCTTATGAACGGTATTACCAAAAGTGGCGTGTACTCTATTAAACTGCCAATGGGCCGCATTGTCAATGTCTGGTGTGACATGGACACAGATCATGGTGGTTGGACAGTCATCCAGCGACGTATGGATGGTAGCGTAAACTTCACTCGGCCGTGGGACGACTATACATTTGGGTTTGGTAACGCCAACTCTGAGTACTGGCTAGGGAACGAGAACCTGTACCAGATGACTACCTATTACAACTATACATTGAGAATAGACATGTATGACTGGGAAAATGGTACGGCCTTCGCTGAATATGGCATCTTCTTTGTATCCTCCGAACAGACCGGTTTCCGTCTCAACATCGGGCAATTCAAGGGCACTGCAGGGGATGCCCTTAGTTACCATAATGACATGAAATTCACCACAATAGACCGGGATAATGACAAATGGTTTCTCAACTGTGGTGCTAAAGATGGCGCTGGATGGTGGTACAAGAATTGTGGTTATTCATCTCTCAACGGCCTCTATGTCACCGACACGAACCACACTATAACACCTGATGGAATCATCCGAGGAATTATATGGTTCCACTGGAAGTGGATGTATGACTACTCTTTACGGCAAACCGAGATAAAGATAAAACCCACGCTCGCTCTAAAGATAGAACGTGAGGTCTTCCCAGACCTCGAGGACAACATTCCGATGAGAGAGAACGTACCACAGACGGAGGTAGGAATAGAGGAACCCCTAGAGGAGGAGGAGGTGGAGGAAGAGGAGGAAGAGGAAGTGGAAGACGAGGAAGAGGAGGATCGAGATACGCAGGAGGACAGCGATTCATTGGGGGATTCTCTAGGGTGATTATGTATACATACTTGCAAAGAAATATTAAAAACCCTGCTAAACATCATTGTTGTAATTTTTCTAAATGATGAATGTTTTGAAAAAATGCCATCCATTTTTGTTTCATATCAGTATGTATTTCAAGGTGATCATCAATATCATCTATATCTTCACAATTACAGAATGATATTCTTAAATCTTCACGTTATTTAGGTCTTAACATTTTTATTGAACTGCAATGGGCTTGTTACCAGGCATTGGGCTTATTACAGGAAAATTATGGTACTGATGCAACTCTAAGTGATGTCTTTTCTGATTTACCTGGAATTTTCCGTGACTTTCATTCATACAAAGTGCAAAAACAAGCTTATTACATGATTTATCAATCTCCTGCAATCTGATTGGCGGAGATCTACTTTGCTGACAGTGATGTAATGATGTATTAAACTCTGGAGTTCGACATTATGCCAATTAAATTTTTATTGCAGTTTACATGTGACTGAACAATCCTGATCAAGAACTGGTTCACCAGGACCAATGACCCCAGTAAACCAATTCCTTTACCAGGGCAAAAATAGTCAGGCATCAAAAATAAAAATAATTAAATGCTTTATCATAGAAGAAATAGAAATAAATAAAGATGTGTTTTAAATTTCAAAATTTAATGACAATCATGCACATCATCGAATGGAGCAAAAAAATGATGGGGAAATAAACTTATACCCTCAAAATTTCCATCCAAATTGTCCTCAAAGTGTCATGCTAAATTGTTGACAAGGATTGGGACTGTGAGGGAAACATAAATATCATCACATGCTTTGATATGTTTGTCACCATGACATCATACAATTTGCCTTAACACAAGCTATGTTTGAATCAATCAAGTCAATTTCTAATGCATGGGAGATAACTCCGTCATATGTTACTTTCCATATCCTAGCACGGACATATTGTAGTTCGTGTAATTGATTTATACAGACAGTGAATTGACATGCCATAGACAATGGTTCCATGTAATATTGATTCCTTATAGACATACTGATTTTTTATAGACCAGACTTTTACCAAGAACAATTGTATGAATTGTCAGGGAATGAATCAATATTTTATCACAAACATCATAAAATGAATTGAACTGACACATTTTGTGAAAAATATAACAGCTAAGAAAACATGGAAAACGCCACAAAATGTTTTTAGGCTTTGCAGCAAATTCCTGACACATCTAATAGCATAGACGATCCATGTTACATCAAAATGTGTGATGTAGAACACAAAACAAATCCTTTTTACCCACTGTATATAAAATATATACCTGGTATGTGATGGTGTTTTTCTCACTTCATAACAGATTGAACAGGTGATTATAAAGATGTAACACTTTTGCATTCTTTGTTCATTCAGAGATATACTTTTGAGTTGTACAGTATAATTATATTCAGGGCTCACATTGGCACCTATTTGCCTTGCTGGTGATTTTTAGGCTACCAATAATTTGCCTTGCTGGTGATTTTTTGGCCAATAAATTTCCTTGCTGGTGATTTTTTGGCTAATAATTTGTCTTGTTGGTGAGTTTTTTTAGCTAAAAATGTGCCTTCTTAGTGATTTTTTTGCTACTATTAATTTGCCTTACTGGTGATTTTTTTTAAAGCTTTTTGTATTTACATTTTTGGCTCACACACAGTTACTTGTTTACAATACAGTGTACAAAGACCTAAGTAATATAACTCCTGCCTCCTTCAGTTGCTGCCTATTGTTTTCCAAGGGGCCCCATGTTGCCCCGGTTGGTGTGTCTGGTTATAAAAGTCACCTTGACCCCTGTCAATTATAAAATGTCTTTAATGGACAGGTTCCCCAATAGGGATATCTCTACTAAACAGAAGCATCGTTTATACACAAGGGGCCATTGTTACATGCTTGATTGTGTTATAAAATGTGGGTAGGAAAAGGAGTCCTGGTAACAATTACCTTTTTTAGCCAACTTCATAATACATCATATGTTGTACATAGAGGAACTTTGATAATCCAGTCATCTTTATTCCAAGTAAAAATTACTTGATTGTAAGATGGGTGGAGTAGATTACAGGAACATTATTAGGTCAATCTCTTCAATAAAATACTGGCCTGATGAAGGGACATTTTACGTAGTTGCCAAATAGTAAGACATCAGGATTAGTGGTGGCTGGATAGTGGGACTACAAGATAAGTGTAGGCTGGGTAGTGGGACTACAAGATAAGTGTAGGCTGGATAGTGGGACTGCAAGATAAGTGTAGGCTGGATAGTGGGACTTCAAGATAAGTGGTGGCTGGATAGTGGGACTACAAGATAAGTGGTGGCTGGGTAGTTGGACTACAAGATAAGTGTAGGCTGGATAGTGGGACTACAAGATAAGTGGTGGCTGGATAGTTGAACTTCAAGATAAGTGTAGGCGGGATAGTGGGACTACTAGATAAGTGTAGGCTGGGCAGTGGGACTACAAGATTAGTGGTGGCTGGATATTGGGACAACAAGATAAGTGGTGGCCGGATAGTGGGACTACACTTATCTTGTGGTCCCACTATCCAGCCAGCACTTATCTTGTAGTGGGACTACAAGATTAGTAGTGACTGGATAGTGGGACTATAAGATAAGTGTAGGCTGGGTAGTGGGACTACAAGATAAGTGTAGGCTAGATAGTGGGACTACAAGATAAGTGGTGGCTGGATAGTGGGACAACAAGATAAGTGTAGGCTGGATAGTGGGACTACAAGATAAGTGTATAAGACTGGATATAGGGACTACAAGATAAGTGTAGGCTGGATAGTGGGACTACAAGATAAGTGTAGGCTGGAGAGTGGGACTACAAGATGAGTGTAGGCTGGATAGTGAGACTACAAGATAAGTGTAGGCTGGGGAGTGGGACTACAAGATAAGTGGTGGCTGGGTAGTGGGACTACAAGATAAGTGTAGGCTGGAGAGTGGGACTACAAGATGAGTGTAGGCTGGATAGTGGGACTACAAGATAAGTGTAGGCTGGGTAGTGGGACTACAAGATAAGTGGTGGCTGGGTAGTGGGACTACAAGATTAGTAGTGACTGGATAGTGGGACTACAAGATAAATGTAGGCTAGATAGTGGGACAACCAGATTAGTAGAGGCTGGATAGTGGGGCAACCAGATTAGTAGAGGCTGGATAGTGGGACAACCAGATCAGTAGTGGCTAGATAGTGGGACAACCAGATTAGTAGAGGCTGGATAGTGGGACAACCAGATTAGTAGTGGCTAGACAGTGGGACAACCAGATTAATAGAGGCTGGATTGTGGGACAACCAGATTAGTAGTGACTGGATAGTGGGATAACCAGATTAGTGGTGAATGGATAGTGGGACAACCAGATTAGTGGTGAAGGGCTGGATAGTGGGACAACCAGAATAGTGTTGAATGGATAGTGGGACAACCATATTAGTGGTGAATGGATAGTGGAACAACCAGATTAGTGGTGAATGGCTGGATAGTGGGACAACCAGTATAGTGGTGAATGGCTGGATAGTGGGACAACCATATTAGTGGTGAATGGATAGTGGGACAACCAGATTAGTGGTGACTGGCTGGATAGTGGGAAGCCAGACTAGTGGTGAATGGATAGTTGGACAACCAGAATAGTGGTGAATGGATAGTGGGACAACCAGATTAGTGGTGAATGGATAGAGGGACAACCAGATTAGTGGTGAATGGATAGTGGGACAGCCAGATTAGTGGTGAATGGATAGTGGGACAGCCAGATTAATAGTGGCTGGATAGTGGGACAAACATATTAGTGGTGACTGGATAGTGGGACAGCCAGATTAATAGTGGCTGGATAGTGGGATACCAGATTAGTGGTGACTAGATAGTGGGACACCAGATTAGTGGTGACTGGATAGTGGGACACCAGATTAGTGGTGACTGGATAGTGGGACACCAGATTAGTGGTGAATTGATAGTGGGACAACCAGATTAGTGGTGAATGGATAGTGGGACAACCAGATTAGTGGTGAATGGATAGTGGGACAACCAGATTAGTGGTGAATGGATAGTGGGACAACCAGATTAGTGGTGAATGGATAGTGGGACAACCAGATTAGTGGTGAATGGATAGTGGGACAACCAGATTAGTGGTGAATGGATAGTGGGACAACCAGATTAGTGGTGAATGGATAGTGGGACAACCAGATTAGTGGTGAATGGATAGTGGGACAACCAGATTAGTGGTGAATGGATAGTGGGACAACCAGATTAGTGGTGAATGGATAGTGGGACAACCAGATTAGTGGTGAATGGATAGTGGGACAACCAGATTAGTGGTGAATGGATAGTGGGACAACCAGATTAGTGGTGAATGGATAGTGGGACAACCAGAATAGTGTTAGCTGGAGAGAGGGACAACCAGATTAGTGTTAGCTTGATAAGAGGGACAACTAGATTAGTGTTAGCTTGATAGAAGAACAACCAGATTAGTGTTAGCTAGATAGAGGAACAATCAGCTTAGTGGTGGCTGGATTGTGGGACCACAAGGATAGTGGCGGTTTAATGTTTAAATACCATTGTGGATAAGTTGGGAACTTGACTAAGTCCCCATTAGATGAATGGACTATTGGGTTGTGTTATCGGATTAATATGAGCTAAATCATACATCAGTTGTGGCTTCATTTTTTATGTGATTTATTATTAAATATTGACGTTAAAGAGATAATGCTGCATTTTTAACCTTCATTGCTTGTATATTTGACTTTGTCGCCAATTTGTGTGATCACTTAAACACATTTTCACCATTTGAAATAAAGAATCTGAAAGATCACTGATTTTATCATGATTTTTAGCAAACATAACCTTTGATTTATATTCCAGACTTGATGACCAATGACCAGAAAATAGCACAATCTGTAAGTGATGATCTCTGAGGAGCTCAAAATACATGACCTCACTGCTTGACCCTCTGTATGACCTTAAATATGACCTTCATTTTATACACCTTAGTGAAGCAGGATACAAGAGACCCATCCGAACTGTACCAACATCTGTTAGTTTTGTTATATAACAGGAAAGAGAGAAATGTGTCACACTGGGGATCGAACCCGCGACCCCCAGCTTCCTAGTTCACTGCTCTACCGATTGAACTAAAGAGAAATTCCCTCAAGCCAACCATAACCATACTTATGTACAATTAAAATCTGTCACAGTTACCCAAACCAGACAAGATATTTACCGAAGGATGCTAAGTAACATTAGTCAAATCCCTTCATCTAAATATCACGAGTTTAGACTTCCCATTTCCTGTTTTTGCCCCATCCCTTCCAAAGGTGGCCATGCTCATTCTGTTTGTCCCGCTGTATTCCACTGGCTCAGGCAATTGCTCAATGCTAAATACTGGGGGTAAAAATCCCCTCACCCATTCATATAGCTTATTGGTTATTAGCCACTTTTGGGTTTAGTTTAGTTTGGTTTGATTTTGTTTAACGTCCTATTAACAGCTAAGGTCATTTAAGGACGTGCCTCCATGTGTGTTTTGCATGGGTGCATGTGTGTATGTGTGCTGGAGACAGGGTATATTGGTGTATTTACCTCCATGTGATAGCGTTGATCTGACGCCGACTTTAGAGTGCTATCTCACTGAAATACCATGCCGAAGGCGCCCAGCATAGCATTCCGCCCGGTCACATTATACTAACAACAGGTGAACCAGTTGTTGCCATTACCCTTAATGCTGAACGTTATAAGCAGAGAATAACAACTACCATTTGTACGGACTTTGGTATGTCCCAGCCTGGGGACAGAACCCACTTTTGGTCCAAGAGGGCAATGCACATCATTCAATTATACAACACTTAATTCTCTTCATCTGCTTTGGACTTGTAGCAGTAATTTGTAGCAGTAAAGTTGATGACAGATGGACAATGGAAGGAGAGAAAATTAAAAGATGCTTTGTCTTTGTATGAGATCAGAAAGCCCTTTTGGATCTACAATTAAGGATTCCCATACCACTGCTAAAAACTGCATAACTACCCCGAGTAAATATATTTGAAACTGTTTTTTCCAGCAACATATAAATCAATTATGAGAGAGAAAAAAACATACATTGCAGGACTTTTATGAGACATAAAAGAGATGAAATAAACAAAACTGAATCAATAACAGTGCTTTGAGTGTGAAGATTCAGCGGGGCTAGACTGGGATTCGAACCCCGGACCTCAGATTGTTATACTATCACTCTAACCTATTGAGCTACCTGGTCAATGGAAGTGTCCTGGCCAAACTGCTCTGCAGTTATATCCAAACAGTAGTTACTGTAGGGAACAGTGTAGTGGGACAGGGATCCTTAAGGAAGTCAAGGGGAGGTTACTGTAGGGAACACCACAGTGTAGTGGGACAGGGATCCTTAAAGAAGTTAAGGGGAGGTTACTGTATATAGGTAAAACCACAGTGTAGTGGGGCAGGGATCCTTAAGCTAGTTTCACATCAGAACTATATTACTCCCAAAGAGCAGTCTGAAGTTGATCCTTACCAGGTGTAACACCAAAAACTCACCTTAACAGCGATAGTACCCCTGGAGACCAGTTTGAAGTTGCTCTTTTCCAGGTGCCCGTAACTCTGTTCACTGACATGTATTTTTCCTGGCTGTAATTAAATAAGAATTTTCTGAAATCACTATTTCTTGAACACGTTTTTTAATAAACTGCATTTCTCATGCCATTCATAATAGTGGATAAACTCCATTATTATCATATTCACAAATCACAATCACTTTCACATATGTTTTTACTTCATTAACCTGAAATGTATGCATGTTTCACAGAGATAGAATTGCATTATCCAAAATCTGTCTTTTCCCATCATCAAAACAAAAAATATCTTTAAAAAAAATTAACAGCTGAGTGTTCATGTACATGTATGTGGTTACCAAGAAGTCATACATTCAACATATAAGTTAGTATTACAACTAAGCTTACCATTCAAAAGGAAGTAACTCAAGATATTTTTCATACCATTTCACTTCAATACATTATGCAATCTCAAATGAAGAGTGAAATGTCACGTAAATATGTGAAACTGAATACATTTCGCATTAGTGCTTCAACATATAATTTAGCATTACACCAGAGCTTACCGTTCAAAGGGAAGTAACTCAAGTTAGTTTTCATATCGTTTCGCATGAATACATTTCCCCATCTCAACTATAGAGTGAAATGCATTGTAAATACGTAAATTTGTTGTTATTCTTGTGGCAGCGAGAAATTAAATGTTTCCTATGAGAGAAACCATTGTATCAGATAGAGATGTAACATTAGATTGTTTGTTTGTTTATGTCACCCTGGTAAAATACTAGCCGCTTCCTACTGAGTCAGCTAGGGAGATTTTCTCTTTAGCTCATTTGGTAGTGCGTAAGACTGGTAAGCTAGAGGTTCCTGGTTTGACTCCAGGTGGACACATTGAAAAAATAATGACCTCTGTTACATTTATTTGTTTGTTTGGGGTTTATAACATCCTCGCCACAGCTAGGGTTGTATGAGGACGAGTGCCTAGGGAGACAACAGCTAGGGTTGTATGAGGACGAGTGCCTAGGGAGACAACAGCTAGGGTTGTATGAGGACGAGTGCCTAGGGAGACAACAGCTAGGGTTGTATGAGGACGGGTGCATAGGGAGACAACAGCTAGGGTTGTATGAGGATGAGTGCCTAGGGAGACAACAGCTAGGGTTGTATGAGGACGATCGCCTAGGGAGACAACAGCTAGGGTTGTATGAGGACGAGTGCCTAGGGAGACAACAGCTAGGGTTGTATGAGGACGAGTGCCTAGGGGGACACCAACGAAAAAAAAGAGTTAGGAAGACAGAGTAGAAAACAAATTTCCGAAGTGTTACAATGGGGGCAGCGAATCAATTTACCTGGTAGGTTTCTTCAGTGTCTCCTGAACAGAAGACACAGAGGAAATCCTCTACTTCTGAAGGAGCCCTATGTAAGCCACCTCTTACGACAAAAAACAGGTGATCGTATCTTATGTTATACGACTTTCATGTAAAATGAAGGGTGTACACATTTATAGTGTGTGGATCAAATGCCATTCTGAGATTTATAACACTTCAGTAGGGAGGCTACCATCTTGCTAGTTGTGTATCCCTAATTCTATACTGAGATGGGCTCCACATTAGCTGCCTCTTACGACATGCAGCTGGTCATTTCTAATGTTAAAATTACAATTAATCTATTAATAAAAGCTTTTAGATCAGTTGCCTTTTTCAGATGTTATATACCACATCAGTAGGGACTAAAGGCTACTGTTTTGCATTAACGCCTAAACCACATCCCAGCAGACCATCAACTCACCTTGCCATGGGATTGCATACGCGAGGCTGTGTTGACTGTGTCCCCAAAAAGGCAATACTGGGGCATCCGGCGACCTATGACCCCACCTACTACACCACCAGAGTGCATGCCTAACCGAAACTGGAGACATTTTCCTGTCGTAGGGTCTTTGAGCTCTTTTGAAAGTCTGAGCAAATCTAAAGCAAGGCCTGCCACCTGGTGGGCGTGATTGGGATGTCTGTCTGGTACACCACCAGCAACCATATAAACTGCATCTCCTAAAGTTTCAACCTTCAACACAGAACAAGTTAATATTTAAACTACATCTCTCAAAGTCTCAACCTTCAACACAGAACAAGTTAATATTTAAACTACATCTCCCAAAGTCTCAACCTTCAACACAGAACAAGTTAATGTTTAAACTACATCCATCTCTCAAAGTCTCAACCTTCAACACAGAACAAGTTAATGTTTAAACTACATCCATCTCTCAAAGTCTCAACCTTCAACACAGAACAAGTTAATGTTTAAACTACATCTCTCAAAGTCTCAACTTTCAACACAGAACAAGTTAATTTGGATTAATTTGGAATGTCTCCATATAAATAACTGATCAAGAGGCATCCCACTTGCATGAGTTTTGAGTGACTGAAGCGACAACAATAGAATGGAACCTTGATTGTCTTTCCTATTATAGTATTGTTCTAATTTGAAATAATGAAATATCTATTGTTCTTGTGGTAAGGATCACACAATTCTCTGTTTCGCTAAACAGTAAGTTAATCCTGTTCCACAAGGATAAAGCCTGAGTGAACATGATCACTTGAGGGGAAACAAACAATTGTGTTAACCTACCACAATAAATGTATAACAGTAAAAGCTGTATTAGGGGACCACCCTTAGGAAGTCCAAACATAGGCCTGTAGGTTCTGTTAACAATGAAATTGTTACAATAGGAAACATGCAAAGAGGTCTCTTCACAAAGGTGGTATCTTAATAGAGGTGGTCACTAGAACAGGTTCGACTGTGTATACATCACATACATTCTAGGCCATATGGTTACCAAGAAGAAGTTATTTAAAGAAAACTATTGACGCCAGACAGACGGACGACGAATGGACGACGGACATCTTATATACTACCACAGCATAAGCTTACTTGGCCGTTTTGGCCAGGTGAGCTAATAAATAAAAGAACAAATGTACAAATGTAATTTTAAACTGTCCACATGTCATTCTTGATGTCTCCTAAATTGAAAGATGTTGAACTTGGTGCAACCTTACCTTGAAGCAGCTATGTTTGTCTACAACACTGTCAAACACAGTGAAAATGTTGTTGACGCATTGGACAATTTGCATTGGTGTTCCCCGGGTACAGATCAAGGTGAAATCCACCAGGTAACTGAACAGGATCGTCACATCCTCAAATACCTGTAAAATACATTTCAAGGTAACACATTAAGTCACATCATCAAATACCTGTAAAATTAATTTTTAGGTAGTATGTTATCTCACATCTTACCCAGCCATTTTTTTATTTTTTTATTAAAAATTATGTTTTCGTTTCACTGTATACAATGGTGAACACAGACCTATACACTATATTGTGAATGATTTTATTTTCGTGTGTTACACTTTATGCTGGAAATATTTAAGCTGGGTGGGTTTTTTTTGTTCACATTGGGAAATCATGATCGATAGGAATCCATTCAACAACATAGAGATTAATCATTATGTTGCAAATTAATGCAAAATTTGACTTTTTGCAAATACAGATGTATAAAGTGAACTACAATGCATAATACTGTTAACTTATTCACCCCTGAAGATACATTTGAACTCTTCCAATTCAAAGGTTGGAATAGTTCATTATGAAATTTTAGGGGTGAATGAGTTAGACATTATCCTAGATGCAGTCTTTTATAAAGTGACTATAATGTCTCTGTACCTGACAAGTCTTGATAGGGTCGACCCCAGCTTTGAGGTCCTGGGCGATGCTCTCCGGTATCATATTGTACAACAACATGTTGCTTTTCTGTTGCCACTCGTCCAACTTTTGCATTGTTCCTGAGATCTTGTCACTCTGTTTCACTTGCTGTAAAAGTAATATAGGTATTATACAGACTTTTATAATAAAATAATTATACAGACTAATTATATAGACTAATTATATAGAATTATTATACAGACTAATTATATAGAATTATTATACAGACTAATTAAATAGACTAATTATATAGAACTATTATACAGACTAATCATATAGACTAATTATATAGAACTATTATATAGACTTCCTATATACCAGGAATTTTTCACCCAGTCAAACTTTTAATTGTCCTCACATATGAAAATTAGTTTTTCGCCAAGTGTTAATTACGCTCTTCACAATAATGTTAACTATGCTATTTACTTATTCACTGCAATGATTAATTCATAAATATAGAAGGGGGGAAATCTAAATCTAAAACTGCAGCAAAATTTATACCAAAAAATATTTTCATAAAGTTTATATAAAATCATTTCAAATAGTCTTATTAAATGGAATAATTGCACAGAATTATTATATATACAATCAATTTTTTACCCTTTAATAGTGAAATCCATGGAGCATGATTTTGACCTTGACCTTAAGTGTAACCTTGACCTTGACTCACCTGTTCTATAGAATACTCGAGTACTGAAGAGTGTTGCCAACCCGTCATAACCATCTGTCGACTATTGTCGTACATGTTGAGATCGCTGATGTAGAGTCCCATCTTCTCCAAGTCTGTTAGGCCACTTACACTGCCAAAATACAAATAAACCTCAGTATACTGCCATCAATATTCAATAGCATTTGGCACTATAAGGGGGTATATTGCTAATATATTGATGGAGGTGCATGGAGAATACTGTGCACGGTAGTATAGAAAGACTAACACCCTTTTAACCAGCAGGAACCTATGTGTATATATGTATATCATTATTCAGTGACGTCCGAAACAACCAGCCAGCTACTACAGTCCGGGCAGAACTTTATTATACTCTACCCGATTCAGCGGGGTGCTGCGATTAACTAAACGGAGGAATCTGCAACACCAACCAACCAACCATGGAGGATATTATTTATTATCAATTACCATAATATCTATAATTAGCATCCTTCAAGCTTAATGACCTCACCTCCACCCTGCCTTTTTTCAACAGAAATGTTTCATATAACTTATATTTATTTTACATCAATTATAAAACAAGTTATTTATATCCATTTGGCCCGGGTGTTAGCGCACAAGGGGTCCTAATGTGGGAGGAAACCGGATTATGCGTAGGAAACCCATGTGGTTGGGCAGGCAGGTGACCTCCTACCTTTTAACGTCCGACCAGGGAATTGAACCCCGGCCGCCTTCATTAAAGTCGAGTGCGTTATCCACTGAGCCAGTACCCGACCATCCAACAGCACATACTCAAATTATGAGTTAAATCTATTCATTTCCCAAACACTCCCCAAATTCTGACTAATTCCAGTTCACGAAATATGTATATACATACACTTCAGTCTGACAAGCATGAATGTTTCCAAGTGTTAATGTATTTTCAAAAAGAAGAGCGAATATTTATTGTTATCAAAATAAGTGTCCCCATTCAGCGAATCCTTTAATTACCCTTGGTACTAATTACCACAGGGACCTTTTGTGTTCTTCAAGGTTTAGATCAATTACAAGACTTACAGGGGAGCACACAGAAACACCATCATGTTCCAGTCCTCCATGAACTTGACTTGTCCTCGTAACAACACTTTGCTGGCCTGTGGCTTCACTCCTGACCCTCCACTCGCATTGGAGAGACGATGCACAGGGCTCCGATACTGGAACTCAAATGTCACTCGCTGTAGCCTCTTCACCTGAGTACAAAAACATCATAGCTATATCTAACTGTAATATAAACTTTATTAATGTTACAACAATTATAAAACAAGTTATTTCAACTTATATTAATCACTCTTGTTGGCCCAGATGTTAGCGTGCACGGGGTGTGGGAGGAAACCGGAGTCCCCGGAGAAAACCAAACATGGTCAGGCAGGTGACCCCAACCTTTTCATGTCCGATCGAGGAATCGAACCCCAGCTGCCTTGGTGAAAGGCAAGTGCCCTATCTCCTGCACCACCGGCCACTCTAACCTGACCACCCCTATATCTGACTATAAATGCCAGACAGTCATTCAACCCTATACTTAGGATTGATAAACATGTACTATCTCTGAAACTGATTGAGCTATCTGGACAATGGAGGTGAATAAGCCCAAAGGGGAGGCTACTCTATAAAGGACAAATGGCAGTGCAGTGCGACAGGGATCTGACAATATCTGATTAGGCATTAAAGGACAAAATAGTTCTAGACAATGTCTGACAAAGGGAAGAACAATTACAATGCAAGACAACGTCTGATAAAGTCAAGGATATTGATTCAAGACAATGTCTGATAAAGTCAAGGATATTATTCAAGACAACGTCTGATAAAGACAAGGATATTGATTCAAGACAATGTCTGATAAAGTCAAGAATATGATTCAAGGCAATGTCTGATAAAATCAAGGATATGATTCACAACAATGTCTGATAAAGTCAAGGATATGATTCAAGACAATGTCTGATAAAGACAAGGATATGAATCAAGACAAAGTTTGATAAAGCAAAGGATAAAATGTCTGATAAGGCAAAATATAAAAGTACTTCAAGACAATGTCTGTTAAAGTGAAGGACAAATATAATTAAAAAAAATGTCTGATAAAGCAATGGACAAAAATACCTAATGACAATGCCTATAAAGCAAAAGACAAATATAATTCAAGGCAACATCTGACAAAGCAAAGGATGAAAATAATTAAAGACAATGTCTTGTAAAGTGAAGGACAAAAATAAGTGTAAACATTATGTTTGATAGACTCAAGGAAAATATATTCTAGACAATGTCTGATAACATGAAAGAGACAAAATCAAGACAATGTATGATCTGGCGAAAAGAATTCTGATTCAATGTCTGATATACTGCTTCAAGATAATCTCTGATAAAGCAACAGACAACAACAAAACAAAACACAGACTAATAAACTGAGGAACAAAACAGGAGACGACATTGGATCGTGGCGTGGGACAATAATGACTGCAGACATTAAGTGGTATAAAACCAGAGATAGTGTTGGTTATTGACCCCTACACGATGTAGCTAGAGAGTTTCTATTGTTTTATCACCTGCCGTTAAAAATTAGTCATCAAAAGCACGCAGAGGAAAATCAATAAGAAAACACAGCAGTATCGTGGTTGTAACTGTTATATAGGAGACAATATTGTGACGCAAATATGGCTGTGTACTGGGGTCATTATTGTGAAACATTGCTTCACAACACCTCCAGTCTCATCAGATATCGAAATTCATGGGCTCTGGTTATTAAATTAAAGATTTCTATCACAGAGTTGGTATTTAATGATGAAGATGTAGAGATTCTATAATAAGTGAACGTTGTTTATCTTTCCATCTTAATTCAAAAACCAAGGGTTTTGCTTTTGATATACACATACTCTCTGCACTCTTGGAATATGTCGATGACAAAATTGAAGGCTCGTAATTTGGCATTTGATTGGTTTCAGATATAAAATAACTTTTGCTTGGGTAATACCTTTCCTTTAAGATTACAGAAGAGTAACAACAAAATCAAAGGCAACGAATTATTTTTTATTTCTTATCAAAGATATCAAAATAACGCAGGACTCCGCAACAGTTTCCAGACTTCATGTAGTTAACTAGTATCATTCATATGGTGACACATACAGATGTTTTCGATTTTGTCATAACAGATTCCAGATCTACTGGCTTAAAATCGATTTGTCACAACTTTTATACAGTCAAACCTGCTCATGCAACCAACTCTAGTAAGAGAACACCTGTATCAAACGACAACCTCTATCAAAAGACTACATGTATTAAAATACTACCTGTATCAAAAGACTACATGTATTAAAAGACCACCTGTGTTAAAATACTACCAGTATTACAATACTACCTGTATTAAAATAGTACCTGTATTAAAAGACTACCTATATCAAAAGACCACCTGTATTAGAAGACCACCTGTATTAAAATACTACCTGTATTAGAAGACCACCTGTACTAGAAGACCACCTGTATTAGAAGACCACCTGTATTAGAAGACCACCTGTATTAAAATACTACCTGTATTAGAAGACCACCTGTATTAAAAGACCACCTGTATTAGAAGACCACCTGTATTAGAAGACCACCTGTATTAAAATACTGCCTGTATTAGAAGACCACCTGTATTAAAAGACCACCTGTATTAGAAGACCACCTGTATCAAAAGACCACCTGTATTAGAAGACCACCTGTATTAAAATACTACCTGTATTAGAAGACCACCTGTATTAAAATACTACCTGTATTAGAAGACCACCTGTATTAGAAGACCACCTGTATTAAAATACTGCCTGTATTAGAAGACCACCTGTATTAAAATACTGCCTATATTAGAAGACCACCTGTATTAAAAGACCACCTGTATTAGAAGACCACCTGTATTAGAAGACCACCTGTATTAAAATACTACCTGTATTAGAAGACCACCTGTATTAAAATACTGCCTGTATTAGAAAGCCACTATCTGGACTTCCAGAGGATGGTGTATTTATACAGGTTTGACTGTTTGTCTATGACTAGTTTTTTCTTCTGCCATTTCAGCCTATTTATAAAGACCACCAGTCAACATGGTTTTTTTTTATCTCCCCACTGGACAGTTTCACCCAGACAAACGTTCGCCCTTCGCCTATGGAATCAGTTTTCGCCAAGTGTTAATTTCACCTTTCACATTCAATAACTAAGTATGTTTTTGTTGTTGTTTACTTATATTCGCTGTAATGATAAATTCTCCTTCATTACGGAGGGCAATAAAGGCGAAAAAGTTAAACTGCAGGAAAAATCTCACAGTGTACAGTATATAATAATTATGAACAGGTGTGAATAAGGCCTGACAAGGGTAAAATCTTGAACTGAAAAATTGGTATTTTGCTTCATGAGTATGAACATGATAAGTGTATTTACATTGCTCCAAGTGCAGTCTATTAGTGGCCTTCGTATCAGTAATCTGGTCAGTAACTCTGAGCCAACCAAACTGTCCGTCTCTAACAGCATTGGTAAACTGGCTCCTGTGTGTCTTATGATAAGGCTATCATCAAATACGATACAAAATGGAAATATCTGAAATAGAAAATTTTATTATGTACATTAGCTACTAAAAGGTATTATGGTTTTCAAAAAAATAGATAAAAAATAAGATACTTCTAAAATGAGATAACAACAAATCTATATAGTACTAGAAAAATATTTCAGCACGCCAAACTACCCTAAAAAGGCCAAGTAAGTTGTACATACATAAAGACTAACGCTTATCCAAACTTCTCCCTGGCTTATGTAAACAGGAGAGCCACCTACAGCCCTGGTTTCCTTTGTTGAACAAGGCGACACACATTTAATTACTTATAAAGGCACTGAGGCAGACACGAAAAAGACTTTCTTTACATCTTCTTTGGTAGAATAGATATAATCAACATTTGTTTGTATATTATGGTCTATTAGATATAACTTGAAAATGTTGGAAAATAATCAACTCTGGCCACACGGCCTTTGTTAATTATTTTTACCAACATTTTCTCATCCTTGTTACATATTCCCCCATAATACACACAGACCTGTTGATAAATACTCTATTAACAACCATAATACACACAGACCTGTTGATAAATACTCTATTAACAAAGAGAAAAGTTAACACATGCTGTTTTATTCTCATGAATGGTTTTAGTGGTTCTTCCCTTCTTTTATTTTTCAAGTAAGGAAAATTTATTACATGGCAATTGCAAGCATTAAAAATCCTCAGCAACAGTACCATCTGGGCCAAGAAGAAAGAATAAATAAAAAAAAGGGTTAAACTGACTTCATAATTGTTGTAAAGTTTATATTAAGTCCAAGCATATTTTCATTAGGTTACATAAACTGCGGGAAGGGTATAATTATTGGTAACATATGAACTTGCATATAGTTTCGCTGCAATTTTAGGTTATCAACACATTGAACATACTGCTGAGAGACACCATTAAGTAGATTGGAAAAGGGGCAAATAACTGTCATTAATAACTGTGAACTTTGATTTTTACATGAAGATAAGGTTTCATCAGGTTTTCTGTATGGATTTTTTTTTAGCTCTGGAAATAACTGTTGCTTAGTTAGGCCAGACCACGACTGTTAACCAGATAGCTCGTTCTGTAAGAGCAATAGTATAGCAATCTGAAGTTCAGGGTTCTAACCCTGGTCTAGTACTGCAGAAATTAGTACGGGTGTGGTATATGGTATCATGAAGCATATAGAGAAATGAACCGCGGCTCATGTAACCATTGGCTTCACATTTCATGCTACACCAGCTCCTTTGAAGACATACCTCATACCATTAACCATTATCTTTATATTTGTATAGCTGGTTCCTTTGAAGGATGTTGTCATTTCATTTTCAGATAGCTTAAATCAGGTAAAGGTCTCATGATTGCAGTACATAGTAATCATACAGTGCATGTCATATATTGTAGTGCTTTACTGTCAGATTTCGTTCTAATCATGCACTTAAAATACAACACCGAGATATTAGGAACGAGACAAAAATTGCAAGCAATCCATAGTATTCCACTTCTGGGCAAACTTCAACAAAGGACCAAATTTCTGTTTAAAGTGGGGCAGGGAACCCAATTTCAATATATGGTATACCATCATCCCAAGATATACTAACATACAAATTTTGATAAGAGGCCCAGAGGGCCTGTATCACTCACATGTATATTTAAGAAATCATTACATCCTATTCTCAACATTTGATACTAAGTGTGATCGTGAAAAAATGTCAAGGTCATTTATTTGTTGAAGCTTATGCCTTACATCTAAGTATGCAACTTCTCCAATAGAATCGCCTTTGGCATCCAAATTATTCACAAGATGTTTAACTCTTTCACCCCTATGTAACTTGAGTAAACTCTACCATGCATTGATCTGGATGAGTCCATTATGGTCCACAGCGGTGAAAGGATTAAGGTCTTCTTTTTTTAATTGACCCCTGCAACCTTTAAGGTAGTCCGAATTATTCTGACGTTTTATCGATTTTTTTCATATCGGTCAGTCGTCAATTAACGTCAGAATATAATATGCGGGAAATATGCGACCCGTGCCCGGAGCGCACTTCAAACTGATATTTTAGAAACGCGGGGCGCATATTTCCCACATATTATAGAGGGACGGAGTTCTGACGTTAATCGACAACAGACCGATATGAAAAAAGTCGATAAAACGTCAGAATAATTTGGACTACCTTTAAGGTAGTTCAGGTTCATTCATTTGAACAAAATTGGCAGCCCATCATTCCAACATGCTACTGGTTTTATATCATAACCTTTGACCTCTTGGTTATTCAGAAGAAGTCCTTTTCACACTTCTGACCCTTGTGACCTGAAAAAAGTTTGAGGTCATCTTTTTAAAAAAAGCTTTACAGCACTGCATGCCAGCATGCTACTGGCCATATATCAATACCATGGGCCTATTGGTTATTAAAAAGATGCTGCTTATTTTTTTTTAAATATTTGATCCCTGTGATCTTCAAAGTATGGCAAGGTCATTATCTGGGACCCATTTTGTATTCTAGCCAAGCATTCTACTTGTCAAATATTATCCGCTCAATTATTAGGTCAAGATTATTTTCTAAGGGAATTTTAAATAACTCCTAAACATTTTGCAAAAGGAGAAATATAATCACTCTAGGCCTCTTGGTTATTAAGAAGTCATTTCACGGTTTTTAGCTATTTGACCCCTGTGACCTTAAGAGTAGGCTATGGTTATTTATTTGAACAAACTTTAAAGCACTCAATCCTAGTATCCTACTGGCTCAATATCATCACCTACGCCTCTTAATTATTGAGAAGAAACCATTTAAGTTTATTTGTTTATTTTTGATCTCTGTGATGATAAAGTAGGTCAAGTTAAACTATTTGCTGAATTTTTGTTACACACTATCCAAGCAGGCAACTGATAAATATCATCACTCTGGGTATTTTTGTTATACAGAAAAAGTTGTTGGAAGGTGTGTTTTACATATTTAATTTGCCTCTATAACCTTGAATGTATGTCAAGGTCATTTATTTGACGAAAGTTAATAGCACTTTGTCCAGGGTACCTTATTAAATGACCAAATATCATCATGGTGGGCCTTTTTGTTATTCAGGAGAAGTAGTTTAAAGGTTATTTACATATTTGATCCCTGTGACCTTGAAAGTTGGTCAAGGTCATGATCATTTTTTCAATTAATTTTGTATAGCACTTAATCCATGTGCATGCTGGTCGAATATCGGGCCCCTAGATCTTCAGTATTCAAGAAGAAGTTTTTCAAATGAAAAAATCAACGAATAGATAGTGATGGGCGTCACTGCACCATACGATAAGGTCCCTTGCACTTTGTACCAGTTGAGCGGAATTTTATAGTGTTTCACATGTAGTGAGAAAGGGATCCTTGCAATTGAGTGAAAAATGAAAATTCTTTCGATTAAATTGTATTAAATACTAAAATAGTTTGTTATGGTGTAATTGACCTTAATGACCTTATTGTGCTGATGGAAAAAACGATAAGCAAAAAATAACCCAAGAGATCCCAGAGAGATTTTCACACCCACCATTGTACCATCTTCATTGGTTTTTATATATGTCAGTTTGATCTTTTCTCTTCTTTTCTCTTATCTGTTTGATCAAGTCATGTAAACAGTATATGCACAACTACAGACCAAGGGGAACCTTCAAATTTGAGAAAGATCTCTTCTGCACTTTCTGAGAAATAGCGATAACAAGAATTGTTCGAGGACAGACAACGGATGATGGACGGACGACAGACGGACCACGGACAAAGGGTGATTTGAATAGCTAACCATCAGATGATGGTTGGCTAACAAGCATGCAAATATATATTATGCTGATCTGTTTGAACCCTTTAATGAGGATGAGAACAACATTTCTTTGACTTTACCTTAAATAACGTGTTGGCAGACAAGGTAGAGAATTGGGAAGGAGATAGTTGGGACATGGCTCCCACTTTCTCCCTAAAGGCACTGTTTATGAAATTGAGACGAAACTTTGTGCAATAGCCAGCATCAATTGTTTTCTGGGTGATTTTACTGACAGTAACATCAATGCCGTAAAACATTGAGGCACATTCACACAATTGGCCAACAACATACTGCATAAATCCCTGGCGTCTGGACCGATACACCAATACACACCCATCTCCATCCTCTTTACTCACATTAAAAGATGGACTGTGCATATGAGGGAAGCTGAATCTCATATTTTCATGCAAGTTGTCTATTTCCTTTAAAAAGTCACGATAGTGCCGCCCTGATATCCGCACAATTTTGTCGTAGCCGTAATGGCTGAAGAATTTGACGAAACACTGACCAAAATACTGCAGGTATTCCTCTGGTGTGCGATCACCCACAAGTACACTACAAGCTTTGGAAAGATCTAGCATGACATGGTCCGGATAGACAACGTGAGTTGTAAAAACTGCATTCTTCAGTCCAACATGTTCCAGTACTGCCCGCCAAATGTCCTCCCCATGGTCAGTCTTTATGTAGTACTGGACACTCTCCAGCAACATACCATACATCTTGCCCCTTCGACCTTTATCTGACACGTGATGGTCAGCTAATGGCACCTGCAACACAAGTGAATGTATAAAATGTACAAGCATTAAATGAGTGATCATCTGTCAGTATCCAACATAAAGATCTCTCGGGCAGATAGCCACGCTCAGTGCATGGTCAGTATATAATATAAAGATCTCTCCGGCAGATAGCCAAGCTCAGTGCACGGTCAGTATACAACATAAAGATCTCTCGGGTAGATAGCCACGCTCAGTGCATGGTCAGTATATAATATAAAGATCTCCAGGGTTCAACACTAACACTGGTGCACTAGTCCGAGAGAATCACCTCACTTAACTGGTCCTTTGGACTTGTAAAAATTATGTTACAACAATATCATTCCATAGATAGATAAAAAAAAAAATAGAATGTTTCTTTTGCAAAACTGATTAAAATACTGATATATTGCATGATAATTATTAAATTTGTCCTAAAACTCCATCCTATCCTCATGGCAGTATTTTTTATGTCCACTACCATCAAATGTTTGTGTTTTGTCTTGGAGTTGTTTCCCTACGGAAATCTTCAACCAGTTACATTGACGGAGAACTAGAAAATAATGTATTGGGCTAGCACTAGTCTCGGGAATTACCAAGCAAACGAAGTTAGTGTCTTACCCTAATCTCTCTAACAGAAATCACACTCATGCGGGGCGGAACAATATAAGCCCGTCGAATGCCATATAGTGTTATATACTTTCTTACATTGAAATAAGATCTGCATCATTCTAAGAGTGGTTAGCTGACATGCTATAAAAAATGTATTAGAAAATCACCGGACAAAAAATCAAATACTGAAATGAACAAAGGGCAATAACTTTTGCAAAAATCGTTGAATCGAAATTCTTTTAAGGAAGACACAACTTCTTATCATGATTATAATGTATACCAAGTTTCAAATAGATCCGTTGAAAAATGTAGGAGGGGATTGCGGGACAAAAATCAAATACTGAAATAAACTAAGGGCAATAACTTTTGCAAAAATTGTTGAATCACAATTCTTTTAAGGGAGACACAACTTTATATCATGATTATAATGTATACCAAGTTTCAAAGAGATCGGTAGAAAAATGTAGGAGAAGATTGCCGGACAAACAAAAGTTTAAGCCTGATGGACGGACAGACGGACGACCCCATACCATAATACTTCTGTCAAATTTGACGGAAGTATAAAAATGACACCAAACAAATTTAAAGGTAAAAAATAGTCAACTTTAATATCAAAAGTGATTTGTGTCTTTCTGAGCAGATCTAAAGCCTTCAGATAGATTAAAATTGTAGAGACATTTATTGTCAGAAAAGAGATTTAAGACATGCAACATTGCTATCTAAAACTGGCCTAAGGTCAACACAATCTAAAAATTAACAATTGGTTTGCCATAAATGTTTTTTGACATGTCATGCATTGAGTCTGGCCTTCATGTTTCAATCGATAAGAAAGGGTAACGTTTAAATCAGCTATATGGAGACAGGCAAGTTAAACTTTATCTTGGTGTCTTTCGCTATAGCAAGGACACCAATTTCACCAATTTAAGGTTTGATAAAATCAGAGGTAGTCCCTGAACACGGGTGGTCGCATGAAAAGGTTAAACTGTGCAATATTCAGAGGATATCCCTGTGTTCTTTATAAGAAGCAGTTGTATTTCACCATTGAGCTGAAGATGTGAAAAATATTCAACCCATGAGTAAAATGTAACATTGAGCATATAACCCATCTCCTGCCAGAAATTGTATAGACAAGGAATGCTGTTTTGCAACATCATGATAAAAAGCGTCACTGACAATGCCAATTGTTTGTAATTGTTTTACACTAAAGAGAATCTCTCTAAGACAGACACACTGTAAAATACCCCTGGAAAACAGACCGACAGACAGAACCATCACAGCCTTTCACTCAGATGAATTAAATTTGTAACTTGTTTAGAACCTCACCAACTACATTCTTCATTCCAGCTAGACAACATTCCTTTACATACACTGATTTGTCAAAATATTGGTTACCATTGCATTATTTCATGTGAAAAACTTTCAGCACGTTAATTTGACTAACATCTGTTTACAGAAAAACAAACATTAATATCAGCTCACCTTTTGATAAGTAATATACACCGATGCCCAGGAATTAACACAGTAAGTTCCTGTTAGTTCCACAGCACGATAATAACTGTGCCAACATTTGTGCTTCACAATTCTATAAATAAAACTTGGCAATGTATCTATACAGATCGCCTTTATATAAAAAAACACACAAGAAATGGCTATAGTAAGCCCTTTATAATCAGGTAGCCTCTATACACAGGTAAAATACCAATTGAAAATGTGCTTTCATAAGTCTTTCAAAGGTAAGTGGCCTCTACACACAGGTAAAATAACGCTAAAAATAATTTCAATTACTATACAAAGTTAACCCTTTCACCACTGTAGACCATAATGGACTCATCCAGATCAAAGCATGATAGAGTCCACTAAAGTTGCATAGGGGTGAAAGGGTTAAAAATACCACCAGGAAAGATGCTTCCAGATGTCTATCAAAAGATGGTGGGCTTTAAATGCAGGTAAAATAATACTAAAAATAGCATTGATGAGGCTATTAAAGGTGGGTGGCCTTAATACAAAGGTAAAATGTTACCTGGAAAATGCTTTCAGACGTCTATTAAAAGATGTTGGGCTTTATATGCAGGTAAAATACCACTTGAAAAACTGCTTTCATCAGTTTAATAAAAGTGGTTGACCTATACACACAGGATGAAATGCCATGTGAAGGGGGCATTCTATCAAGGTTTTACAATGCAAAATTATACAACCATTAATACAGTCAACATGTATGAGGACCTTGCAAAAGTTGCCCTATCAGACACTTACTAATTGTCCTAAGCCACCTGTCTAATACCTCCACGTGTTCACATCCTGTGTGTGTGGTAGAGGTGTATAACTACATGTTCTGTTTTATGAGGTCACCCTGCTTCCGACAGCATTTTTTCCATAGGGGCACCTCATTCGTTGTTACAACACAGATACTGTAGAACACACCCCAAACCATTTCTAAACATTTTCTTCAGGTTGGTAAGTATGGATTATGAAAAGGCTTTTTTACACAACCAATACAAATTTCTATGTGACGTTTCGATGACTAGTACGATACGTACACTGTCACCTTCATCAGACAAATGACCAGTAAAGCGTATGCACACAAAGGTGTAAAATGTGTACGAGTTGTCCACAAAAACAATGTCAATTTCGGCTACACTGTAAGCGTATGTACAATAGTTGTTATATATGTACCGAAATGACTCGAATCAGCTACGCTTTGTTTAATTCTTGGTCATAGATGTACGATAGCCCAAGAAGGTAGAAGCAATCTGTTCAAGCGGCAGATAAAGGAAGCTATTTGGATACGCCGCAGTGGGCCAGTTCTAAATCGAGACAAGGGGGCTCAAAGACTATCGCACATCTATGACCAAGTATTAAAGAAAGCGAGCTGAATCAAGTCATTTCGGTACATATATAACAACTATTGTACATACAATTACAGCGTAGCCGAAATCGACATCGATTTTGTGGACAACTTGTACACATTTTACACCTTTGTGTCCATACATTTGTCTGATGAAGGTGACAGTGTACATATCGTACTAGTCATCGAAACGGGTGGGCACATTATTTTTCATTTCAGCTCACCAGAGGATTACCTAAATCAAAACCTTGTTTCATAAGTCTCATACGAAATAGAAATTCCTACATGTATGTCCTAATATACTGTAAGCTTACATATTTTAGCTGTATTCTAATTTTAGCACTTTTTGCACTATTAATCTTTCGCCAAATTATGACTGTGCTAATTGAAGTTCCTGTATATAGTTTTCTAGTATATACATTTTGAGTGGGCTAATTCTTCAATGCACTAATCTGTTAAAATTTAATAATACGCTAAACTACAGTATGAGTCTGCTAAAATAAGTAATTTTACAGAATATAGGTAATCAGATGAGAAGTTGACCTTTACTTAAGTTCATTTTTTCACAGGTTAAATATGGGTTGCTTTTCTAGACTTGTATCCTCCAGAGTGAAACTGATTTGTATCCCCTGGTCTTCGCTTGTTTGTTGTATCCCCCATATCCCCCTCATATCAATTGACAAATTAACATTTCCTGCAGAAAGCCAACATTTAGAATTTCCCATTACTTTTTGACATTCACTGAAAAACCAAATTTTACATTCCACGAAGCTTATCAGTTTTCCACCAGATTCCACCTCATCAATGTTTACTGAAAACCCATGCAGCGATACAGACTCATGCAGCTGCCAATTACAACTTCACAGTCTGGCCTAAGTGTTGTTAGCTTATCAAAAATAGTCCCAGCCACCAGTTACTACTTCACAGTCTGGCCTAAGTATTGTTAGCTTATCAAAAATAGTCCCAGCCAACAGTTACTGCTTCACAGCTGTCTGGCCTAAGTATTGTTAACTTATCATAAACAGCCTCAGCCACCAGTTACTACTTCACAGTCTGGCCTAAGTGTTGTCAGCTTTATCAAAAATAGTCCCAGCCACCAGTTACTGCTTCTCAGTCTGGCCTTAGTGTTGTTAGCTTTATCAAAAATAGTCCCAGCCACCAGTTACTACTTCACAATCTGGCCTAAGTATTGTTAGCTTATCAAAAATAGTCCCGGCCAACAGTTACTGCTTCACAGCTGTCTGGCCTAAGTGTTATTAACTTATCAAAAATAGTCCAAGCCACCAGTTACTGCTTCACAGTCTGGCCTAAGTGTGGTTAACTTATCAAAAATAGTCCCAGCCACCAGTTACTGCTTCACAGTCTGGCCTTAGTATTGTTAGCTTTATCAAAAATAGTCCCAGCCACCAGTTACTACTTCACAATCTGGCCTAAGTATTGTTAGCTTATCAAAAATAGTCCCGGCCAACAGTTACTGCTTCACAGATGTCTGGCCTAAGAATTGTTAACTTATCATACACAGCCTCAGCCACCAGTTACTACTTCACAGTCTGGTCTA